CAAATTTATTATTCTCAAATTCCTTTCCATGATCACTTCTGATTCTTATGAAATGACTTTCCTTTTCCCTTTGAAGTTTTTTACAGAGATCTTTAAATACTTCAAAAGTTTCTGATTTTTCTCTAATAAAGCTTATCCATGTGTATCTAGAAAAATCATCGACAACAACATAGGCATACTTCTTACCACCAAGACTTTCAACCTGCATAGGCCCCATCAATTCCATGTGAAGAACTTCCAAAACTTTTGATGTAGTGAGATGTTGGATCTTCTGATGTGACATCTTAGTTTGCTTTCTAATCTGGCAGTCACCACATATTCTACCTTCTTCTATATTGAGCTTAGGAATCCCTCTCACTGCTTCTTCAGATATAATTCTTTTCATACCTTTCAGATGCAAGTGCCCCAATTTTTGATACCATAGTTTAACTTCATTCTCTTTGGAAAAAACACATGTTGATGAGAGATTTAACTCTTAAGGAACCCATAGATAACAGTTGTCTTTAGATCTGATTCCTTTCATAATAACTTTATTCTTTTCATTGCACACAAGACATTCTTCCTTGGTGAAGTTAACTTTGAATTCTTGATCACACAGTTGGCTTATACTTATCAGGTTAGTTGTTAACCCTTGAACAAGTAACACATCATCAAGCTTAGGGACTCCTGAACAATCAAGCTTTCCAACACCTTTGATTTCATCTTTTGCTCCATCACCAAAAGTCACATAACTAGTGGAATGAGATTTTATATCCATCAACAGATTCTTGACACCTGTCGTGTGTCTAGAACAACCACTATCAAAGTACTAGTCATCTTTGGTTGATACTCTAAGGGAGGTGTGAGCTATGAAGCTAGCAACATTAGACTTGGGAATCCACTATTTCTTATTTTTGCTATTTTGTGGCATCTTATCAGTCTTGGGAGGAAGATCAGTCTTAGGATACCCATACAATTTGAAATAGAAGGGCCTTATATGACCAAGCCTTCCACAGTGATGACATCTCCAGGGCTGGGGATTCTCCTTGGTGTGATTAAACTTTTTATTTCCATGATGTTTGCCATGATGTCCTTTCTTACCATGATGTTTGCCCAGATGTTGAGACATTTGATTCGACATCTTTGGTTTAGACTTGGCATGAGTGGAAACATATGAAAGCTCTTCTGAGTTAGGTTCCTTTTTCTCATTGAAACCTAGACCACTATTGTCTCTTGTCACTCTTCCTATTTGGAGAATCTCGTATAATATGTCAGACCCGTTATTCAACATCTTGAGAGATTTGACCATTCTATCAAGATTTGAATTCAGAGAAGACACTTCACTTTTCAGATCAGAAATAGTTTTAAGATGCTCTTCCCTTTCCTCCTTCAGCTGAGTTATAAGTGCTTTATGTTTCTCCCCTTCAAGCCACACTTCTGCACTTCTGAGACATAATTCTTTGTATGAAGAAGCTAACTCATCAAAGGTTAGTTCCCCATCACTAGAATCTTCATCAGATACATATTTTCTTGTTAATGCTTTAACATACTTGGTAGATTCTTCAAGATCACTCTCTAAGTCCTCTTCAGACCAAGTAACAGATAGATTCTTCTTCTGTTTCTTAAGATATGTAGGACATTCAGCTCTAATGTAACCAAATCCTTCACATTCATGACATTGTACTCCCTTTCCTTGAGTAGATTTTTCTTTAGCCCTTTTTCTTTCAAACTCATTTGACTTATGGATGTCAGATGAGATGTTCTTGACATTTGATATTTGGTTTCTATCCATTATTTTTATCACTTTGTTAAACTTTCTTCCAAGAATAGCTAAGGCATTTGTTATTCCTCCATCTGTATCCAAATCACCGTCTTCCTCTTCATCTTCAGTATTTGATACAAAGTCTATGCTTTTGTTCTTCTTTTAAGATCTTTCATTGATGCTTAATTCAAATATTAGGAGGGATCCAACAAGTTCATCCACTTTAATTTTGTCAATGTCTTAAGCTTCTTCTATAACAGTCACTTTCATATGAAATCTCTTGGAAAGAGACCTGAGCATCTTTCTCACCAATTTGTCTTCTGGTATTTTCTCTCCTAATTCACTGGATGCATTAGCAATTTCAAGAATGTTCATATGAAAGTCATTAATAATTTCATCATCCTTCATTCTCAAATTCTCAAATTTTGTGGTGAGCAACTGAAGTCTTGACATCTTAACTTTGGATGTGCCTTCATGAGTAGATTGAATAATTCCACATGCATCCTTAGCTACTTCACATGTGTTCACTAATCTGAAAATATTCTTGTCAATTCCATTGAATATAGCATTCAAGGTTTTAGAATTTCCAAGATCAATTTCATCTTCTTCTTTAGACCAATCTTCTTTTGATTTTAGCTCAGAAGTAGGTTCTCCATTTTCTCCCAATTTGACAGGATGTTTCCATCCTTTTAAAACAGCTTTCCAAACCCTGTTGTCCAAAGACTTTAAAAAGGCCACCATACGTGGTTTCCAGTAGTCATAATCACTTCCATCCAGAATGGGTAGTCTGTTCATAAATCCCCCTTCCTTGTCCATAGTACCAGAAAGTATCTTCCATATATCTCACCCAAATAAAGAGCAGGATGCCTGCTCTGATACCAATTGAAATTCTGCTATCAGATATGTGATGTCACGACACAAATATTTGTTTACAAGTAAAGAGCGGTAATAAAAAAAAGCAGTAAAACACAAGAGATTGTTCACCCAGTTCAATGTACAACAACACCTACTCTAGGGGCTACCAAGTCAGGGACAAGCCCACTAAATAGTATCAATTCATAGACCCTCGGTAAACAACCAGTTTACGATCTAATCACTTAATCACTACCTGTGCTATACTACTACCTAAGACTCACATAGGTATGAGGCCCTCCTCAAATCCCTTCAATCATTTACAGTGAAGAAACAACAGAATTAATAAGTTTAAAACTTCAATCATTCAATGCTTAAAAGCTTATGAATGATACACAATTAACAAATCAAATAACAACACAAGTATTCAATCAATACTAGAATGTTTGACAATTAAAAAACTTAGACTTTTTAAAACAGAAAGAAAGTATTCTTATTCAAAAGTTGTAGTAGTTTGAATAAGGAAGCAAGTCCTTATATATGCGCAGTTGTGAGCTTGGACTTTAAAACCAAATATTCAATTCTTTTGAATATTTCCATAAAAACAGGTTAAGATAAAATCCATGCATTTTGAAAAATATTCCTCCAGATTTTTCGCTGCTTGTGAGTTACAAATCTTGAATTATGGAGAGCTGGAAATCAGGAAACAGACAAATATATACTGATGTTGGCTGAAATAAGTTCAGGAGGCAGATGTCAAGACATCTGCTTTGACATCATTCAAAACAGTTTTCTACAAATGTCAAGACATTTAGCAAAACATTAACAACACATTATTTTACTAAAATTACTGCCAACAAACACTTACAAACCCCCCCCTTTGGAAAATTTTGGCTAAAACATTATCAGAGCATATTATCAAAGCAGAGCAATATACTATCAGAGCAAAATCAGATTAGCAGCATAAGAAAAGTAAGAATAAACTCGGTTAGCAGTTAGTTGTTAGCAAAGGAAGATGTCAAAACATCTTCTAAGACATGAGGCTCCCCCTCAAGTATTAAGCTCCCCCTCAATTAGATGTCAATCAGTGGTCAGTGGCCAGTCAGTCACTCTCTCTCCCCCTTTTTAGTCATAATATACCAAATAAACAGATGCATTCAAGAGTGTATCAGTAATTTAGATACAAACCATAGAAATCAAATGTCAAGCATATGCAAGTGCTAAAAGGAAGCAAAAGGATCATATAAAGAAACATCAATTAGTCTAATTGTCATCAGGACCAGTTGACTTGTTTGAGCCAGAACTTTCTTCGTCACTAGAGTCTTCACCTTCAGAGTTCATTGTATCATCAAAGTTGCTATCCTTTTGCAGGTCCTTAATCATCTTTTCAAAGGTTAGCTTCTTTACTGAGCTAACTCTGATCACATCATCCAATTCCTTACAGGCTTCTCTTAATTCTTTGATCATATCATCTTTGGTGGAGGTCTTTTCAGCAGGTCTTATCACTTCTTACCCACTCATACTTGCTTGTATAATTTTGAATCTTACTCTGACATCGGTGTGTCTTGCAGGTCTTATCACTTCTTTTATAAAAATTTGTGAACAAACTTATCAACTGACCGAATTTTTTTAATTAGTTTTACATATTAGTAGAATGCAATTAGTTACTTTGTATCAGAGTGTCTCATTCTTAAGATTTTAAAGCTATTATATGTAAATAATATATTGTTGGTTTCAACTACATTTTATATTTTATATTATATGAACTGAGTTTAAAGATGACAATGCGATAAATTAATTAGTTTCAAAATGAAATTAAAAGATAGTGTACTAACATATAAAATAGTTTTACATGAAAATTTATTGTTTAATTATCTCATATAATTTATTTTAAAATAATAATATAATTTAATATTTAATATAATTGTGATTAATTGGGAGTATAAAATTATACTATCAATATATATTCTTTATTCTCTTCAAAATTTACACTAAAAGGAGTTTAATTGAAACTCTAAACCTAACAAAATACACTTATATTTTTTCAGTTTTATATTTTAAATCTCTTATTTATTTATTCATTTTCGCACCACTAACCTAAATGATTTTCTGTTTACAACTATAAACGAATCCACCATTGATGAGATGGCAATCCATTTTACATGTGGTGCTTGCTTTGCCTCTAGTACTAATTAAATTGACAGATGGGACGATTTTTTGTCTAATGAAAGTTTCAATTCCTACTCGTCTGATCCTGGAAACAAGCACCAAACAGCATGCATGGCTTTAGTGATTGACATCCCCTGCCCCGTTTTTGGAGCAGAACGTACAAAAGCTCTTATCGTAATATGCATGCCTTGGTAACTATTTTCCAAAAAGAGAAAAGCTCACAAGATAATAAGGAGGCTCAAGTCTCTCTCTTGTCAACATGTTGGTACACCGGCATGTTGACAATCATAATAAAACATCTGCTTGTTATGCTTATGCTACACCAAATATCTACTAGTAATGCTTGAAGTCGTAATCCTTCTGGAAAGATTCTGAGCTCTGGCAAATTTTTCAAGTTTTCCTTATATAGTGTAGGTTTCAGCACGCGTGAATCATGGCACGACCCAAAACCATCGCACTGCAATTCGTCCTTTAATCCACTTGGCAGCATGCAATTGGATGCTGAATCACACCACGATCTCAACTCATCGTGCCGCGATTATTACATAACTATTTTCCTTTTGGCTTTGGCATGCATCGCACCACTGTCCAATCTGATCGTGGGGCTGTTTTTACAGGATTGTTTCTTCCTTCCTCATTCTTTTGTGTCATTCTTGCTTTGTCTCTCATCACTGTAACATCCACCATGTACACGCAGAGCTGTCTAGTTAGAGTGATTCAAAGTGCAACAAGACTTTACACAATTGTCTTGACTCTGCTATAATTTGCTTAAAATCATGCAATGTTAATATAAAAATAAAGCTAAAAGACTATAAAAACTACTAAAAAAAATACCAGTCTGACATAGTTTCATCCCAATGCTAGTGTGTTAATCTTTTATTATTATGGAAAAAATACAAAAGAATGTTGCTGTAGGTTACACTATAACCTAACATTAAGATCATTTTCAGTTACATATGTCTTATTATCTACCCTCAAATTGAAATTTTACATCATGGGTATGGTTTATACTGGGATAATATTAATCAGAACATTCAACATGGGAAGAACTTACCATTAGCATTTTCAATCAGATCTTGATTTTCAAACCCTGAAGCAACAGCAATGCAAAGAATAATAAGGACCCAGTCGATACCTGGATGCTTATTATTCCAGGTATCGACTGGGTCCTTATTATTCTTTGCATTGCTGTTGCTTCAGGGTTTGAAAATCAAGAGCTTGCTTAATAATCGAAAAAGTTGCAGTTATTGTGGCCAGACTCACAATGATGGCTGTAGTTGTTGCAACAACAAATACTAGCTAGTATATTTTATCTGCAAAATTAAAGATAATCACATCTAACAGGCGTTAAAAAACAAATTTGTATCATTCTAAAAATGTTACATAAACTTAAGCAGAAATAAAAACAAGTCCAAAGGAAATTATTCAAATAAACTGGACGCAGATATTTGTATCAGGAACAAGATACAGAGGCCTTTTAATTCAGACACATGCGATAGCAAGATGTAAGCTGATCTTGGAAGGAAAAAAGACACGGGAAAAGTTTTGACAGAGGTAGGGAAAAAAGAGGGAAGCAAACGTTAAGTTTTTTATTTGGAATGTGGTCATATACTTGTTGAGTTTTACCAGAATATTTTCAAATTACACAGGTATATCAGAAATAAGTATTTCAAATTTCAATAGAGTAAAAGTTTATTAACCTGGAACAGAACCATAAAAAGCATCTATTGAATGACTTGACTTACTCATATGGTAAGCAGCTTGTCCAAATCACCCAAGTAAGAAGGAAGAATAGTTTGTTAAGTAGGATACCGAGATCAATTTCTTGCTAGTTGCTCCCTCTTAAGTTTCGATTTTAAATGCATATTTTTTCTGAGCCTTATAGTATAAGTGATATATGATGTCATTTAAAATCCTTCCAACCAGATATATCCTCAACATTTTGCTCATTTACTCATCTCATAAATGGTTTTGCCATTTGCTTTCACAGTTCAGTAAATCTACACAAATGTGCTTGCATAATAATATTCAGAAGCATATAATTTGATAGATAAACTTACTTTGGTGAACAGCTAGAAATTCGACAGTCATAAAAACATTAAAATGGGAACAATAAGTTAGCTTCAGAGAGAAGGCATACCTGATATGGCCGGGGTAAGAATTCCATCTCCAATCAGCATGCAGATGCCAACAAGACAAGAATAAGAATGTCACTTTTCTATAATTCATGTTCCTTCATCAAATTTTTAGTTTTCGCAACAAATGATATTTTCGTGAAATGTAGATTGACGTTCTGTCATTAACTAGTGGAGTCCACATCTTGTACGTTTCAGGGTAGTCATACCCCATTCTCAATTACTACCTAAATATGGGGCACAAAACCATTCATCACTAACATGTTTCCTGTGCAGTTATCTAGTAACCTCTCACTCACCTATTATATGAGAACACACAGTGGGGATATCAATAAGTGACTTGATCGTCGAAGCCATTGCAGGTACCCTACCACTACTTTGCTCGTGAACGCAATCAAGCTGTCTTGGGCCCATCAAAGGTATTAGACAGAGCACCAATTATTGAGTATTCATTCTAAATTTGTGCTGGATCGAATCCTTTCAAATTTTCACGAGAACAATTAATGAGAAGCATGTTTTAATATGAAAGCTTAACTGCTACTGTAAAAGGATCACAGTATCTCTTACTTGCAATCACTGCAAGATCGTGGACATGTTCCAAAATGGAAATTAAGGAATAAATATTTACCAATAATCTCCACAAGAACATACCCCATTTTTGAAATGGTGAAACCTGCTTGAATCTCGAACAATAATTTCTGAGTTTGTAATCTCTGATATGTACTTGATGGCAACATGACAGTCACCGCAAACCCGCAGGTTTTTCATCACTCGAATTGGCTCTCCCTTTGGGATGCTCAATAAAGCAAAAGCAATAGCTATTTTCTCGCTGTGGTGTGTCAAGTTGTATTCTTTTTCCTCGTTGTCCATGTCATGTAAGACAGAGCTTATATCAGGCACATAGCCCCGCATCTTCATTTCTGAAGTTAATTCTTCAAGATACTGATTAATCTCCATAGACTTTGGGTGGCTTTCATCACCCATACGGAACTGGTGAACCTGATTCTTCACTTCTACCCAACTTATGCCTGGCTCTTTCTTCACCGTCTTGTCTTTCATGGCTCTCCTCACCTCAGAAACATTCTGCCACCTCTTGGCTGAAGCATGAATACCAGCCAGTAGAACATATGAAGCCGAGTCTTGAGGATCAATCCTAAGAACTTCTTCAGCAACCCTTCTTGCCATTTCTTCATTCTTGTGGATTTTACATGCAGATAATAATGTTTTCCATATAATTGCATCTGCTATTACAGGCATGGATCGTATCATAGCCTCTGCCTCGTCTAAACAACCAGATCTGCCTAGTAGGTCAACCACACAAGTATAGTGTTCTAGTCTAGCCTTGAGTCCATACTTCTCTACCATCATGTCAAAGAAACCAAGTCCTTTATCCTTCAGGCCACAATGACTACAAGCATATAGCAAACTCAAAAACGTAACTTCATTTCCCACCAAATTCTCCCGCTCCATATCATTGAATAGCTCGATGGCTCTTTCCCCTTGACCATGAAACCCATAAGCAGCAATCATTGAGCTCCATAATACAACATCTCGCTCTTCACATTCGGAAAAAGCTTTGATGGAATCTTGCAAACTTCCACATTTAGAGTACATACTAACCAATGAACTAATTACAGAAACTACAGAACTAGCTCCGGCTTTGATTACTTCAGCATGAATCTGCTTCCCTTGACAAAGGGTGGCTAACTCCGAACATGAACTAATCACACTCACAAAACTAATCCTATCTGGTCTAAATCCTGCCATTTTCATCATACAGTAATGATCCAAAACTCCCTCAAAGTACCTATTTTGAGCTTTTCCAGCCATAAGTGTATTCCATGCAACCAAATTACAATTCGGCATCCATTTGATAATCCTCTCCCCATCATGCAAGCTTCCAGCTTTCATATACATATGAGCCAAAGAGCATCCAACAACCGAATTAAACTCAAACCCACATTTCACAACATAAGCATGAACCTGCTGCCCTCCAACCAAAGCTCTCAAATGCGCACATCCCCTAAGCACACTACCAAAGGAATACTCATCCGGCACAAAACCCAACACATTCATCCTGGAAAACAACAACAAAGACTCTTCATTGGCTCCAAACTTAATCAACCCAGTGACCATCGCATTCCACGTAGCAACGTTTCTCTCAGGCATTTCATCAAACAGCTTCTGAGCATTCTCATAATTGCCCGTTTCAAGATAAGCCTTGATCATGATATTACACGACATAATATTCCTCCTCGGCATTCTATCAAACAATTTAACAGCAGCATGAAGTTCCCCGAGTTTCGAGTAGAGATTAAGAAGGTGATTGTTAACGAACTTGTCGGAGGAACAGCCAGAAGTGAATATCAAAGAATGAAGCTGTTTTCCTAAAAAAACAGAGTTTGTGGAAATACATGATTGAAGGAGAGATGAGAACAAACGAGGTTCTGACCATAACTCATAAACGAAGCTCTCGAAGGCTTCTTTTATGCGCCCTTTGGAACAGAGAGTGGCGAATTGTTGTTTGGTATCGGAAAAGTTGTCATTTTGCAAATGGGTTTTGAATGAAATCGATGAGAAGGAACAAACTGGGTTTTCAAAAATGAGGGGCGCAGGTATACAATAGAAGGTGGTACGAGGTAATCTAAACCTGGCCATGGATGAAAACTGTTAGTATATGATTACTTCATATGACATTTCTGATACTCACTCCGTTAAAAAAAAAAATGACATTACTCTTTACCATGAGCATTATTAGGACTAGAGTTATCAAAATGAACTAACTCATATAAATCGATATGTTAGGCTTAAAAAATGATAGGTTTGAGTCTTAAAATTAGAGTTCATATTTTTTAGAATTTTTTTAATCAAGTTTTAAACAATTCGCTATCCATTAGTGCTAATCATAATGGGTCATGGATAGCTCATTAGGTCCGTATAGTTATTAATTATTAAAAAAATTATATTAATATTTATATTGTCTTACATTAAAATATCACATTGATTTTTCTCAATACATTAAATTTTATATTTATTTTATTCAATCTTTCTCTATTAAATATTATACATTAATATAATCAATATTTTTTTCTCGTATTCTATTAGTTTCTCTTATGATAAATATTCGACTATTATTTTATACAATTTAGTTATATGTATTATATTTAAAAACACATTATAGTATTTATAAAAATAATATATTACTTAAAAATATATTATATTTAAAATAAATAATTTTTAATTTTATTTATAATAAATACTATGGGCTTATCATTTTAAATTTTTCTATTAAAAAATTTGTTTAGGGTACCCGAATTTGGGTAGTAACTTTCAATCCATATTACAACAAGACTTTTTTAGCTCATCCCTAAAAATCTTGAGGCCCGGTCTGTTTAGTGGGTGGTCTATTTTGACAACTCTAATTAGGACACCGCATGAAAATACAATTATACCCTCAAGTTTCGGAGATACATCTTCGGACGCACCAAAATTCAATACACTTTTGGATCAGGTCTTAAATCAATGTAAAGAGTTAATCAAAGATACATCTACGTATACCTTACATAAATGCATCTTCGAACGCACCAAAAGCCAGTGCAAATCTGGATGAGCCCCTAACTCCACGTGCAATTATTCTGGAGATACATTTTCGTAAAGCTTACGTAGAGGCATCTTCAGACGCTATTCGTTCAAAAACGTATCAGAAGCCCTTCACCTTCCTCACTTACTCAAACTCTCTCAAAATCCATTTTCTCAAACTCTTTCAAACCCCATTTTTTCAAACTCTCTCAAAACAAATTAAAGCAACACCTAGCAACTTCAAACATCCAGCTACAAGCAACTCCAAGACATTATTTGTAAGTTTTTTCCGCCTTTATTGAGTTTATATATAAATGTGAAAAGTTGATTTTTAGGTTATGAAATAGATAAATTTTACATGTTTGATAGCTTATACCTAATGAAAAACAAGTTAGATTTGCAGCTTTTACGATCAATGTATTAGTTTTGAGGATTTGGGGGTCTGCAATCCGTCGTTGAAGGTCGTTATGTTGCAGATCATTACGAATATGCATATCTATAAATTTACAATGTCCAGAAACCAGATATGCATCTCCGTAATCAATCAGTCTATAATATTTGTCTTTTTTTTTTCATAACTCATTGCATAACGCTTGTCTATTTATAGGAATTATGGTTGATAGACAATCCCGATTCAGACACAACGAGATTGCACAACATGCATATGTTCAAAGGGAAAAGAGTCAACCATCGCAGACTCCTGTTACCTTTAACCCGGTTGATGCAGAGGTGTCAGGTTCTATGGCTCATGTTACTCCACCTTATTCTTCCTCTTCCTGTAGCATGTGAGGATCCCCTATTCATATATCCCTCCCTCCATCTTCCCGTAGACGACTAAGTTCACCTATTTAAGCACTCGAGGAAGTAGAGGTACGCGAGTCACCCGAGGTACCTCAGACACTAAAGGCATCTGAGGCATCCCATTCTTAGGAGACACCAACAATAATTGAGGAATCCCATACCCATGGGGCACCTGAGGCATCCCAGGCCCAAGGGGAACCTCAGGGTTTTAGAGGAGGCCCGTCAGACTAATCACTACTACATCTTTTCCTGGACCATGCTGTAAGGCATATCTAGGACAGAGAGGTAAAATTTAGTTAGAATTATTCATTTAAAGTTGTGTTTGTTGTAATATTAAATTATGTTTGTTGAAATCATTCATTAAATTAAGTATGCAGGAACGTGATTGGCTAAAATTAATCAACCATAGGCGGAAGATTACTGGCCTGATTTCTCCTAATGAGTTGTGGTTTCAAGAAGTTTTGTAGCTATCCGGGATGTGAAACTTATGCCATACTGGTTATGTTATAGTTAACTATGGTATGCTTAATTCGTTTGTAGAGATATGGCACACAAAGACGTCATTATTTCATCTACCACATGGTGAGATGTTGATCATACTAGATGATGTCTTATGTCTGCTACATCTTCCGGTTAAGGGGGAACTTTTAGA